GGCCCGAGCCCCAGCGGTCCCCTCGGGCGGAGGGCGCCCTCCAGCGGTAGGTTTAGGTTTATCCGCGCGCGTCCGACCGGTGTCTGAGGCCCACCCGGTGGTCCTGGGGTGGTAGAATTCGCAGCTAGCCCTGCCGCTTGGTGTGTGCGGCGTCGGCTTCCCATGGGCATTTATGAAAAATGTCGAATCCCAGGCCTGGCCCCACCCCCACTGAATCACAGTCAGATTCACCCGCACTCTCCAAATTGATCAACGCAAAATGGAGAGATGCTTCCGCAGAGGGCGCTAGAGACCTCCAGATTCAGCAAGAAGGCAGCTCAGGTGAGGGTTTGGGGGAAGGCCCAGATGGATATACACTGCTCAGTGCAGGAAACTTAGAAAAGATGTCATTCACAATCACTCCACTCAGATAATCAAGATAATCAGGATTAACATTCCTTTTAATTTCCTGTGCACTGAAAGATATTTAAAACATTTTCGTTTAAGAAGTCGCATTTCTTTGAAAATAAAGTGTTGAAATGTATGAAGGACTATCATGTTACAGAGTACCTTTTCTCTATGCATATTTAGTTTTATGTATAGCGCACGTCTTAAAAGTTTACATATAAGTATGGGATTTTTAAAAAACATGATTCAGCCAAGCCGGTGTGGCTGTGGTTGAGCGTCGACCAATGTATGAACCAGGAGGTCACGGGTTCGATACCTGGGTTTTGAGTTCAGTCTCCAGTAGGGGATGTGCAAGAGGCAGTCAATCCATGATGTTTGCCAGGATGACTAGAATCCCAGCACTCACTGGGTTTTGCAGAAATCTCAGTTCTAACTCCCTGTCCTGAGCTAGCCTAAGACTTTACCTCTCTCTCCTTGCTATGAGTGATGTTATGGGCTGAATTGTGTTCTCCCAAAAGGTATGTTGAAGTCTTGACCCCTTAGCACCTGTGAATGTGACCTTATTTGGAAACTGGTCACTACAGATGTAATCAAAACCAAGATGTGGTCGTTAGGGTGGGCCCTAATCTAAATAATGTTCTTGTTAGAAGAACCAGAGACATAGGAGAGAATGCCATGTGACCACGGTGGCTGAGATTGGAGTGATGCAATATACAAGCCAAGAACACCAAGGACTGCTGGCAGCACCACACACTGAGAGGCAGAGAACACACTCCCTGGTACCCTGAGGCTTTAGCAACACCTTGATTTTGGGCTTCTAGCCTCCCTAACGGTGGGAGAATAAATTTCTGTTATTTGAAGCCACCCATTTTTTGTGATAATGTGTTGCAGCCGCCTTAGGAAACCCACAGGTGACAAGACCCAATCCTCCTCATTATCAGTTTCAATCCTCCACCTTCTCCCACCCGCAAGGCAGTCACAGGTCTACTTCCCACCTTCCACTGAGCTCCTTTCTTGTCTCTCGCTGGCTCTAAAGATTTACTACTATTCCTTGATAGTTCAACTATGAATTAGTTTTGTTTTTCTTTAGCTATACTGAAGTATGAATAACAAACCATTAAATTAACCCATCTTGAATGGAGTTTAATTTTTCGAAGATTTATAAAGTTGTGTAACCATCACCACAAACCGGTTTTAAAGCATTTCCACCACATCAAAAAGTTCCCTTGTGCCCCTTTGGTCATTCCCACCCCCAGGCAACTAATCATTTGCTTTCTACCACTAAAATGTTGCCTTTTCTGGATATTTCACATATGGAATCATACAGACTGTGGTCTTTTAAGTCTGGCTTTTCACTTAGCATTTTTTTAAGGTTTATCCATGTGTCTTTTTTATTGCCGAGTCATATTTCCATAATATGTAAAGTGTTCAATATCATTAGTCATTAGGAAACTGGAAGTGTATACCAGTACACGCCCATCAGGATGGTTATAGTGTAAACCCTGAATGACAAGTGTTGGTGTAGATGTGGAGAAACTGCAGCACACTGCTGGTGGGAACAGAAAATGGGGCAGCCAAACAGTGCATTTGGGAAGCAGGCAATGTCTTACCAAGTTAAACACACGCTTACCACGTGACCTAGCAATCTTACTCCTAGGTTTCTACTCAAGAGGTAAGAAACGTAGATCCACACCAAGACGTGTACTTGGATTTAGAGCAGCATTATGCATGATAGTCCCAAACTGCAAACAGTTCAGATGTCCATCAGATGGTGAACGAATAAAGTGTGGCACGTCCACACAATGGAATATTATTTGCTATCAAAAGGCCCGAAGTGCTGATACACAGAAGTCCCGAGAGGGCAGGGGGTTTTGTCTGCCTTGTTCACAAGTGACCAGTGCCTGGCATATAGTAGGTGCTCGTTAGGTATATGTTGCATGACCAAGAGAATGAACCACATGAGCTTCTTTATTGGACTGTTTATTTGAAAAAGATTTATTACATTTTGAAAAATGGCCATGTTTGCAGTCATAAAAATGTGCATGAGAATTCAAGAATATAAAAATAATCTATATTAACAAGTTTGCTTTGTACACACGCTACACCATCAGCCATGACCCCCACTGCAAGTTTTGGGGGCACTGACTATTGTGGGAGCTTCTGACGCAAGACTCAGGGAGATCAGGGTAGTAGCTCAGGGACACGTAGCCTGACCAGTGTCCACTGTAAACATCAGCGATAGACTTTTATTTTAAGAGGCAAAGGGTTTCCCCGGAGTTCACAGTTGGTTTGAGCCCTGCAGTGGTGCTGCCCTCCACACAGCAGGTGGCCGACTGCCACCGGACGTGTACGGGTGCAGAAGTTCATCAGAAACTCTTTTTCATTTCTTTTAAAAATACATTTTCAGCACGCAACTTTTCTGTCTCCTGGTAAGTAA